AACTCGAGCTTCGCGTCCTGCAAGGCATTTAATGACCCCCAACGGCCAGAAACGGCTATTTTCGAGCAAGGAGTTATATATATGGTGGGTAACAGATCTGAAGAGGGTTAGAGAGTATTGTATTGAATATCTTTACCTACCTACATGAGCTTTGACTTGAGATTTTGATCTTTGAGAGATCTTTATTTGTAATCCTCTTCTTATGCTATTAGTGAGTGATCTTGGGGGTGTGTTGATTCCTTCAAGAGTGATCTATTGAGAGGATTTGTGGGGTTTACATTGTAAAGGGGTGAGATTTGAGAGAAACATCCTTATTCTTGTAAAAGGATTGAGTGGCTCCTTTAAGCCACCCTTGTTATTGTTAGTGGAGAGTGTGGAGGAAATCCTTGGTGAGTGAAGCCAAGGTAGAGGACTAGGCTCCAAGCGGTTGGACTGAACCTCTATAAATCATTGAGCAAGCTCTTCTTCTCTACTCTCTTTAATTTGGGTGTTGTGGTTGCAAAAAGGGAAGAATTTTTAGAACTCCAATTCACCCCCCCTCTTGGAGTACATTGAGTCAACAAAGAGAACATCTCCAATTAAAAAATAATAATAATAATAATGTAAAAAGATCAAACATTTAATGATATGCTCCTTTCCTATTTAATTTTAATACATTTGGTTTTTAATTTAAAGTGATTAAATTTAATTTTTTATTTTTACTTTTTAAAATGTCATTTAATTTATTTGAGATTTTTTTAATATGTATTTTAAGACATAAATTAAGGATATATGTTTATATTAATTATTATTAAAAATAAAAATTAATTTTTATTTAATTAATTGTTTGATTAAAATAAGTAACGTAATAATCAAATTAATATTAACTTTTATTATTTTCAATATCACATAATGACAAAAAAATATATTAATTATATCTTTAATACACACATACACATGTAGGGATGGCAATTTTCTTCGATTTTTGTAGGCCCCACAGGGATCCCTGTTATGGGGATGGGGTGAGGAGGAATATTCCTCCCGTGGGGCAAGGATGAGGAATATTTTCTTCTCACGAAAATTCACGGAGAGTTTTCCTCGTTCCGTGGGGATCCCCACCCCCACAAAAATTAAAACAAACATAAATTAATTTTATTTTAAATTTAATTCATCTTTCAAACTCAAACTCAAATCCAAACTCAAACACAAACTCAAATTCAAGTTCAAATTCAATTCAATCAAAATTAAATTTAACCAAATTTTACCTAACCCAACCCAACCCAACCCAACACAATCCATAAAAATTGACCCAATTCATTCTCCTACTTACATTTAACCTTAACCCTAATTCATTTTTCAATTTTCATTTTCACCTTCCCCTCCATTGTTGGTTTAATTTTTGCTTATATTCTAGTTTAGCTTGGATTAATCTTTGTTTATATTTGGAACAAATTTGTTAATTGTTGGTTTAGTTATTTATATTGAATTGATTTTTATTTATATTTAGACAATTTACATTTGATTTTATATTTAAAAATTTTAGTTAATTGTATTTGAA